AACCCTAAAAGCAAAAGAAGGGGTGCGAGCTAAGAGACGCATGGACTTTTAGGGTTCACAGCCTGCTCGGCCAATTTCCAGCCTTGTGATTTTGAGCAATCTCTCAACATCTCTGAAGCTGTTTCTTTCCCTTTAAGAAGAGGACAAGGGCAGTCCCCGAGCGCGTGTGTGTAAGAAAACACACATACGCGCTCAGCACCGTCTCTGGGACTTAGCAGGGTGGCTCAGTGCGAGCTGTCACTGGTGGTGACAAGCTCCAGTTCTGCCCGTGAGAAGCTCGGTGACCTCCCGCAGACGCGGTTTCCTTCTCTGTCACTTCGATGTAATGACACCTACCTCCCGGGTGTGTTGGAAAGATTAGTCATGACAATTCCTCGCCTGTGGCAGGCACTGAAGCACCTGCTATTGCCGTGGTCCAGAAAGCTCCAGAGGCCGTCCCGTGAGCCAGCTCCACGTAGCCGGGTTGGTTCCGAGTTGCTCGTAGGACCCAAGCAGGGCCTACCAGCGCCTAAGAGCACTTGCCCCAGCATTTAATATTCGCTTAAAATACTGGGGAAAAAGAGCTCTCTACGGGGCTGTCGGGCTGGGAGGATGCAAGCCAGGAGCACCTCGTGGCCAAACGCTGAGGCATCTGGTGCCACCCCAGGGACACCACCTGCCTGAAAATTAAGCCAGCCCGGAACCGGGGGGTGGAGACCAATTCCCGGTTCCACCGTTTGAGCCCCCGGATCCCACAGGGCCTCACCTCTTGTTCATGTGGGCCGATACAGTCCTTTACCCCCCTCCCTTTAAATCAGTTTCAGTTTCTTTCCTGGCTTTAAGAGTCCAGATGAAACTCTCATGGCAATCAGAACCAAGACCTGGACAGCGGGGAAGCCGCTGGGAGAATCATGGGGGAGCTGTGTGCGAGAGGCACCCCTCAAGCCCGCCGCACATCCGGAGCCTGGAATGCGCCCCCTTTGTGCTCACCGGAGACTCGGCAGACCCCTTCCCAAAGAACACAGCTAGAGAAAGGCACAGATTTGTCTTTCGCTTTATCATGTATAAAGCCATACAATGCGGAGCCAGGAAAGAAAGCAGCTGTACAGAAGTGGGCCAGCGTAAGGATACAATAGTTCATGTCCGGGTAAGCCACACAGGCCAGGGTTTATACAAGGTGGGAGAGGTTACAGGCACGATGATACAAAATAGAAAGGATATTTCCATCTATATAAATACACAGCCGGGGGGATGGGGAGGATGCTGGGTTATTCTGTCTGGAGGATGCTGGGTTATTCTGTCTCTCCTGCAGGGGGCCGGGGAGGTGGTGGCAAGGAATTGTTACATTTGTTCTGAATGGCATGTCGGAGGGAGGAGAGAAAATGGGGAAACACGGCATGCACACACAGATGTGCTCACTCTCACACACAAACCAAACATGGGACACACGGGAGAGCCTCAACCTGTTTAACACTGATTAGAAACCAAACTTGGGACATTTGTCTGCAAAGACCTCGCTGCCGGGAAGAGCCCAGGTGTGGGACATACACAGAAGTCCTCCAACGGTCTGGACATCGGAGGACAGAGAAATCAGGAAGGAGCCGATCTGCCAGAGCCCCACCCAGTGGAGCCAGTCCTCCCCATTGACAATACGGCGATTCCTCCCATCGGGGGCCCTCCTGATTCCTTTCACTGCTGGGTGATATCGAACTGGACATCCCATTGCCCACCCACTATCTTTGGCCCTAACCCCACGTTTCCTAAAGAGATCAGCAAAATATGCACGCATAGACACCTGTACTCGCGCGCACATGCACGCCTATGTCCTGCGTTACGCTGGCCAGGAGCTCCAGTTTCTGGATCCTGGGGCCTGGGCCTGGGTGAGGAATGGCTCTGGGACTCTGCCCCCAACCTCTCCAAGGAGCCTGAGTGTGGGGAGATGTAGGGGCAGGAGGCAGCCCCTGGATAGGGTATGGACCCGCTTGAGCTCCCCAGGGCCTGAAGTTGAGAAGTTCAAAGAAGGAGCGAAGACTCGGGAGGCAGGGATGGTGGGCAAATGTCCAGCATAGATGTTCTGCTCCCAGACACCTCCACACACCCTGCATGGCAGGAAGAGCCTGCCCGACCTGGGCTCGGGCTCATCAGCATCCCCCCCCTCCCTGTCCTGAGAGCCCTTTTATAAGGATCACACTTGTGCCGCTGGTTGCCGCCTCTTACGGCCACCAGGCCCCACCGGCCCTTTCCTGCCTGTCTCTGATATACCGAGGGATTCCTCAAAGCCCAAGGGAGAAGGAGTCCACGAGTTTTCAGAGCCGCTGGGGAGAGACTCTGATGAAGATGGGGGTCAAAGGCCCATCCCGAACCTCGGTCGCAGTGTATGTGGCCCTCAAATAGCTGGCTAGATGAGGGGGCCAGGACGCCAAGACTGCAGGGCAGGGGCATTCCAGGCACCTCTGGAGGTGGACCAGACAGCTCCCTTCTTCCTCTTTCCCCTTTGGGGTCACCTCTCCATTGTTCCCATGCTCTGCCCTCTCCTCCTGGTCCACCAGCGTGGAGCCACCTGCACCTCGCTGGACCGCTCTCCCAGAGTCAGACACATGTCATCTCCCTTGCCCTCTTCCCTCCAGACACCACGCTGGCCGGCCTCGGGGAGGCCCCAGGCTGGCCTCAGATGCCTGGCTGGAACGCGGGGGTCCGTAAGCCCACCTGGCATCTGCACCCCTGCTCTGCAACTTGACCCTGCCTCTCCTGCTCCTCCTTGCCAACTTCCCCCGGACCCTGGCCCTGCCCGCCTGTTTGCAAGACCAGACAGCACTCTCCTGGCTGACAGACAGATTCAACAGTAACAGCAAACAGGGGTGAGGGGGAGGGAGGAGAGAAAGGGCTAGACATTTACACAATAATAACAATAATGATTAAAAGTGCTTTCTCTTAAAGGAAATCTTTGGCAAGAATATACTGCGGTGCTGTGGGTGTGTGTGTGTGTGTGTGGGTGTGTGTGGGGGGGAGGTGTGTGCACGCATGCGTGCTGGGGTGCACAGACCTAACCTGTGAGACATGGGAGGGCCACAGTGTCCTCCCAACCAGTGTCTGACCCAAAGGTAGGGCCACTTGGGAACTGGGGTACCCTTCCCTAGCATTCTTCTGGAAACCCACTTCTTCCAGGGGGATGCGAGGGAGTGAGGATTGAGCTGATCAGCTTCCCAGGATGCCCTGGTCCTTCCCAGGGTCACACTGGGCTCAGGCCTGAGTGGGGCAGGCTGGCCATGCCCGGGAGGTGGGGGCTGCTGGGAGAGGGGAGCTGGTGGGAAAGCATGTGGAAGGCACAGGGCTGGTTGCCAAAGGGTCTGCCGCTCCGCCTGGCCCCAAGTGAGGAGAGGACATCCAGACCAGGAGGGGCGAGACCCCGGGGCCACATCCATTGGGAGATTTAAGGTATTTACAAAGGAAGTGGGCAGGAAATACCTCCTATCTGGGGAGAGAGTTGGGGTGGGTGGGAATGGGGGGATATCTGGGTATCTGGCTTGAACGCCTCAGAAGGAAGAGCACTTTGGAGGAACCTCGGTCACCAAGTACAAGGTTGCAACCTTTAGGAAGCGGGGGCCTGCTTCCCACCTTCAGACATTCTCCTTTCCAACTCCCTGAAACAGAACGTCCACACAGATACAGCTTCTTAGAGGAGAAAAAATGCAAAAGACACACACATCACCCACATCAGCCACACACACCCTGTCCCCCACAGGCTCACACACTTGCTCAGGCCCACAGTGAGAAGGGCAGCTCCCCCTCATCTCTGGGAGCTGACTGCTGAGCCCCAGGCTTACCAGAAAATAAGGGGGCCACGGGAATGGAGCAGGCACATCGCCTCCCCACTGCCTGCTCCAAGGATAAAGGGCCCCTACGCTTCAGACTTCACTTAGACATAAAAAAGGGGATGGGAACTGGTTTATGCCTGGGGAGGCGATAAAGCAATATGGAAAAACAATAAATACTTCTTGTCAATTTACCTATTCTTTTTTTTTAATCTTTTCTTATATGTTATTAGCTTACAGATTCTGTCAGTATGTCTCACATATATATTATATATATTTATATATCAGTACAATGCCTCTCTCTAGGGGACCCCATGGGCTTAAAAAGCCACTCAAGAATGGAGTGTGGTGAATTTTTCATTTTGGCTTAGAGTCCTTGGGTGGTGGTCTGGGGCTTTCCCCAACTGCCCAGATGGATTCTCGGCCCTCTGACCTAAATGCATGCTTGGCCCCTCTGTTCCACGGGCAGCTTGGCTCTGCCAGGGAAACCAAGGCAGGAGGGGGAACAGCAAGGCTTTGGCATGGTAGGTAGGCCATGTGGGATGCACAGGCAGCAGCAACAAGGGCTCTGCTAAGGACATCCTGGGCAGACCCGTAAAAGTCAGACCCCGAAACACCCTCAGAGGGGAGCACGAGGCCTTCGGGTGTCTTCCCTGGGGCTTGCTGGGCAGGGTTTTTGTGAAAGCAGGTTCCGCAGGACAAGCTCCAACATGGGGACCCTGAAGGACGGGGCAGGGCAGGGCAGGAAGGCTCAATCCCCCACAGCCGCAAGGGCATCAAACAGATAAGCAGATGTGAGGAAAGGCTGTTCTGGGGCACAAAACCCAAGAACAGGCTGAGGCCTCGGAGCTGGTGGGAGCCACCTGCCCAGGCTACTGCGGGGCCACACACCCGCCATCTTGCCAGCTCTGCAGCCGCCCCTCCTGATGGATCTCTTCCCCAAGATGATGTGCATGCATGTCTGCACCTCCCGGCACCAATACTCCAGCCTCCCACCTGAGGCAGAACAGGGGGTCCCGCCCTTGGGCAGCCAGCCCCCCTCCCGCTGGGGTCTTTCTTGAGAAGGGCTGGCAGCGCCCGGGGCTGCTAGAATGCAGGCACAGGGGCCCACAGTCTGTGACCCAGAACCTTGGGCACTCCTGGGGAAGAGGGCTTATGTCCGCCCGCCCCCCCGCTGCCCTGTCACCCCCGCTATTGCCTTCTTTGTACAGGATGCACTTGTGTGCGCAAACACACGGGGCACAGAAAAGGATGGTGTTGTAACTGGCTGAGAGGCACATGAAAGTAAGTGAGGCTGTGGGTGTGGACCTATTATACACCCCGTATATACACCCACACACACTGCACAGCGGAGGCAAAGTCCAGAGACCTCAGGTACTTCAGGTCTCAGATACTTTCAAAGGCAAAAGTTCGGCCACGTGACGTCCCATGCTGGCCCTGTTTGGTTCGCCAATCTACCCCGGAGGTGGCCAGAAAAGGATTCTCTCGATCTGGTTTCTCCTTGCAAAGCAGTCGGGTTAGGGAGACAGAGCTTTTCCACTTACTCCCAAATGACAGATCCCCAAGGAGTTGGTCTGTCTCCTCTGAGGAGCCCCATCCTCTCGGAGGGGGGAAGGGGGAATTAGGTGGACCTGGTGAGCGGTGGAGGCTTTCGGGGCTCCACAGTATCCATCTACCCAGGGGAATCCAAGTTATTCTCCTCCATCTTTTTCTTTCTCTCTCTCTCTCTCTCTCTCTCTTCCCCCCTCCCCTCTGCAATTCACTTCCCCCTCCCCACGTTGCACTTTCTTCTCTCCTTCTCCAAAATTGGCCTAAAGTCCTCCTTCTGGATTCAAGGGTGGTCAGGATTCATGGGTCCCCTCCCCGCTCGCCCCATCCCCCCCCCCACTGCCCTGGCCCCGGGCGAGGGGTGGCATTCATCTCTTCTGGCCGGCACTCAGCATGACCTTGGAGACGAAGTTGACAATGGCAGAGGCGGGCTGGTTGGGGTCAAGCTCAGCGAAGAGGTGGCAGGCATTGTCGGTGGTGCTGCCCTGCTTCCGGGCCACGAACCCGAAGAGCCTACGGGGGCAGGAGAGGGGTGCCAGGCGTGAGGGGAAGACGGGGACCGGGGGTGGGCACCCAGGCCTGGGAGGGCTGCCCATGTGAGCAAGCTCACCCTCAGCTCAAAGCATCTCCCCAGTCTTCCCACTTCTCCCTGCACATGGGGATGGGGGGGCCCCGAGCGCAGGAGAGAATCCTCCCTCTCGTCCGCCCCCAGAAAGCCAGGGCCTGGAGATGAGAGTGTCCCTGGCTTCAGGGCAGGCAGCTATTCCCCTCTGAGGAGCAGCGGGAGGAGGGGCTGGAGGCAAATGAGGAGACTGGACAGCAAGAGGTGGGGAGGAGACCGAAAATAAAATGGGGACATTCCTAGGCTGGCTTCTCTCGGTCCTTCCCAGCCCCACCCCTCCCCGACGGTTCTTGCGCACAACACAGAAGCACATGAAGAAAATGCCGTCTGCCTGTCAAAGCGCTTGGCCTCCTCAGACACCAGGGGAGGATCAGGGAGACAAGGACAAGGGGTCAGCACACCCCCCCACACACACACTCTTCTCCTGGGCTCCAGAGAATGGGAGGGGACGGGGGACCCCACACCTGTTCCTCCCCACCCCCACTCCCCACACCAGAGTGACCTGGCATTCTCTGTGCAAAACAGAGTTAAAAATATGAGCAGAGAACAGAATGTGAGCCCAGGTCCCCTCCCAGTCAGCACGTTGCTAATTAGAGCGAGATGGGGAAATCGGGACAGCTGGAGATTCCAATGGAAACCCCTCTCCCCAGGACTGGACCACAACAGCTAAAATTAGCAAAGCTGGGTCCTGCTCGCCACCACCCGCACGTATGTGTACACACACACACACACACACACACACACGTACATGCATGCACATGCACAGGACTTCCTGCAGCTTGGCTCTCCCCAACTTTGTTTCAGGGCCTGGGAGTAGCTAGGGCCCAAGGTCCGGGGTAATGGCCTGCCCAAGCGAAGGGGATGCCTGCGTCCACGGCGCAAGCCCCACCACCTCCTTTGCAGGCTTGCTGAGGCTCCTGGGTGCCAAGGAGGGCATTAAAGGCGGAGGGAGGGAGTGGCTCCCAGCCGCCCCATGACTGCAAGCCAGCCCTGGCTGCCTGGTTCCGCCAGGGTGGAGAGCCAGCCAACCTCACCAGCCTAAACACGGCCCACCTGCCCTCCCTCCTGTTGATTTCAGCTCCCTGGCTCCAGAGGCCAGTTCAACGACTGCCAAGTCCTTTTTCTGCTCAGGGGGAATGGATCCAGGCAAGAAACCTCAGCCCCAGGGCAGGGAGGAGCACTTGCAAGGACCTGCGATCAAGTACCTCCTGAAATCTGGGGCCTGAGGCGCCTCGCATACCTCCCCCTGGTCCCTGCCTGACTGAGCCAGGCTCTCCTGGGCCTCTGCCCTGCCAAGTAAGGCCGTGTCAACAGGAAGCTCTGCACAAAACCAGCTCCGGAATGAGGAGAATGACTTCCGGGCTTGGGAGCAACCCTCTTCTGTCCCCGACCCACTGTCTCCCCATCGCGGGGCCCGATGGTGCCTGAGCATGAGCTCCTTCAGACACGAAGCTCTGGCTTGCTTGGGTCAGGGACTCGGAGCCCCTCATGGCCCTGGGAACTCAAAGAAGGCTGAAGTAGGTGTGAGGCATGCTCTGAGATGGCTGGACACCTGGGTCCTCCTTTCAGCTGGGCTGCTAGTTCTTTACGTGACCTGGGGCAAGGTGAGGTCCCCTCTGTCCCCCCCAGCCCCTCTGGAAGCTCCCAGGGGCGTTCATGGTGCTGTCCACTGCTGAGCAACATTCACTCCTGACCACAGGATTCACAGACGCTCACCAAAAGAGGGAGAGTGGGAATCAAGGAAGCAGGATTTGGGCAGAAAGACCATTCAAGCAACCCCCTGCCCCATGGCTGCTGCCCTCATTATAATTGCCAGCCCTCTGAGTGCTTCCTCAGATCCTGCTGGTCTGGTCCTAGGAGAGGCCAGGTGACAAGACTGGAGGCTGGACCTCCAGCCTCGAGGCAGGAGAAGGCAAAAGACCTCGCTGGCTGGCCAAGCTTTCCTCCAAAGTTGAGTGACTGACCCCAGCACAAAGGCTTTTGCTGCCCTTTGCCTACCCCGGCCCCAGATTCTAGGCTTCCCCTAGGAGCAGCCGGCTGGGGCAGGGGAGAAGACACTTACTTAGCAGGGACACCTCCCTCTGTCTTCATCCACCTGTGGAGAGAAACACACCACAGCATAAAACACTACACCTTCTCACCGCCCCCAGAACCCGGCCCCGTGCATGCCCAGGCCTCCTGGGGGAAGAAGGGAGACTCCAAAGATCACACAGGGGGAGGCATTCATGGTGGAGAGAACACTGCGGCCTGTCTCCCAAGGAGCTCTCCCCAGTGTGAAGAGGAGAAGCAGATTTGAGGTCAAGGATATGGCGGAGGGCATGGAAGCAAACATATGGGTCCCTGGGAGGAGCTCCAAATGTGTGGTGGGAAAAACTCAGAAAGCTACACAACACAATTACTCACCGTCTCACGGACACAGGCAGACCTTCAAGTCGAACCAAGAATATACGCCCACACCCACACGTGCATACACATGCACACACAGAGACTCCAGTGTTACAGAAATGGGAGGGAGGGAAGGAGTCTGCAAGAGCCTTACTTTCTCTCCTGAGGATCCAGGTCACAAAAGGTGACAGTGTTGAGGGGGTAGTGTCGTCTGAAGAAGAGCCTGTGGCACAGACACCAGATAAACAGAGAATGAGTGCAGAAGTGACCACTCTTTCCCACCTTCCCCTTGCAGGTCAGGCCACCATGCGTGGCTGTCATGGGCTGACCCTGCCTCCCCCTTATACGCAAGATAACCTGGGCTGCTCATAGAAGCAATGCTCAGGAACAGATAGACGTGTCACTGAAACATGTCCCAAATGCTAGTAAGTAGGAAAAGAAGGAAGAAACTGGTATTGAAGGAGAACATGAGCAGACCCTGGAGGAGGAAGGAAAGAAGCGGGAGGGAGAGCCTGAGAGGAAAGGCTCCACTCTAAAAAGCAGGCACTTTTATTGATTGCATTTATGGCTGTATGCTCAATGCAGGCACAACTGTAGAAGGAAAGATGAATGGATGGATGGATGGATGGATGGATGGAAGGATGGATGGATGGATGGGTGGATGGAAGGATGGATGGATGGATGGATGGAAGGATGGATGGATGGATGGATGGATGGATGGGTGGACGGATGGAAGGATGGGTGGATGGAAGGATGGATGGATGGGTGGATGGAAGGATGGGTGGATGGATGGATGGGTGGATGGAAGGATGGAAGGATGGATGGATGGATGGATGGGGGGATGGAAGGATGGATGGATGGGTGGATGGAAGGATGGGTGGATGGAAGGATGGATGGATGGGTGGATGGAAGGATGGATGGATGGATGGATGGATGGAAGGATGGGTGGATGGAAGGATGGATGGATGGATGGATGGATGGATGGAAGGATGGGTGGATGGAAGGATGGATGGATGGATGGATGGATGGATGGATGGATGGATGGGTGGATGGATGGATGGGTGGATGGAAGGATGGATGGATGGGTG